GGAGCCCCAGACCCTGCTCCTGCCGAATGCCGCCAGCCTGCTCTGCTGCAGGACAGGGCCTGAGGGAGTCAGGGGCAGGGCCGACCCAGCGTGGACTCAGCCTAGAGCTGGTACCTAGACTTGAGCCTCAGGAATTACAAATGAACAGCATGCGGATGCCAGCCAGCTCTGCAAGGCCTGTGACAATGCTCTTCTGTCCAGCCTGACCCCTGCCCTGGGAGCCAGGCCCCACTGTTAGTCTCTGTCCCACTTCTCAGATGAGGAAACTGAGGTACAGAGTAGGCAACAGCCTCGGCCAAGGCGTTCACTGTGCTGGGGGGAGGAGCTGGCTTCCTGAGAGCATCCCTGCCTTGTCCCCTGTGCAGCCTGGCCACCCCAGCCCATCTGCCAAAAGCCCCCGGCCAGCTGGGTCCATCTCTGACCCTGAGTCTACCTCACAAAGAGAAAGAGGTCACTACTGCGGTCGTTCCAGACATGGATGCCCCACACCAAAGCCCAAAGCTAAGGAGGTGGCCAGCTACTCCCTGCCCAGTAGCAGCTCCTCTGCCTGCTGGCCTGGCCCTGCTCCCAGCCTGGCTCACTCCACTGAGAACAACCAGAGCTCCAGCCAGCTGCCCTCACAGTGGTGGTACTGGAGGGGGCTGGGCTGGGGGTCTCAAGTCTTTACCCTCTCAGAGACAGCAATGGGGGACAGGACATACATGGGGGCCCTGCAGCTCCCCAAACACAACCATGGCCCCCTGACGGTACTGCTAGGGAAATGCAGCCTACGAGTGGCTCCAGGTACCTCCCTGGTCCCTTGGCCCAGTCATGAAACACTTTGGGAGTCCACACACCAAGAAGGGGCAGGGCCTCCCCGTCCAGGGCAGAGCAGCTACCTGGATAGCTAACAAACACCAGGACACCTGAGCATCCGGGAGGGGGAGAAAGAGGGAAGACCAGGCTGTAGGGCAGTCGGCGGCGGACTCTCCCCCAGCTGACCACTGGGACCCACCCACAGAAACTCAGAGACAACCCCCTCTGGGCTCATGGACATCCGACATTATTTTAAAAATGAACAAGTGGATGAAGACGACAGAACACACAACAAAGGCGGCTTGTGAGCCCAGGACACATGGGCATCAAGAACCAGGCATTTGGATTAAACCACAATTTTGGACCCTGAAGAGCCTGAAAACCAGATATTGGCGAGGCTCTCCCCAAGACCATGAGGCAGAGCTGAGCCTGAACTGGGCCGCAGAGCCGGCCCTGCGGGAGCAGCACAATCACAGCCCCATACCCAGAGATATGAAAAGTGCAGGCATCTACCTGTGCTTGCGAGGTCTGGTCCATCCCCATCCCGGCCGCTCTGTGGACACTGTGCTGGCCTTGGCTCCTGAGCGGCCCTGGGGCCCCTGGACAGGGTCTCTGCTGCAGCACCCGGCCGGGGCTCAGGCTCTCGAGCAGGAGGGTGGGCGGCTGTCGGTGCCTCCAGAGGTGCAGAAGTCACCTGCAGAGAAAGAAGGTGGACATTGTGAGTCTCGGTCTTGCCCACCAGAGAGGACGCATGGCAGGACCTCCTGGGCACAAAGCCCTTTTTCTCCCGGCTGTAGCCTAGTCTCTGTGATCAGGGACTCAGACTGGCTGGCTCAGGGACGCCTAGAGCAGGTCCCCAGAAAGAGAGCACCAGTGTCTTCCTCACCCAGCAGGCCCTGCCAGGGCACACCAGGCTGGACAGTGTACACTGCGGGGTCCACCTGCATAGCTCCCCGGCCTGAGTCCAAAACTAGAGCTACCTGAACCTGCCCAACAGCTGGCCAGAAGGACTTAAGAGGGAGCCAGTTGAGGGTGAGTCCAGAGGTCCAGCCTTGTCCTGCCCCCTGGGATTGGAGAGATGAGGTTTACCTGTGGCTCTTGCCCAGGAAGCCATGGGAGCCTGGCATTTGGTTCAGGGACCTGGAACACATGCACGTCTGGTGTTGGTCCCTCATCTGTGTCCTCTGGGGGACAGTCTCTTCTAGACCAAGCAGCCGGGAGCCTCAGCTCTGCTATGACCAGCTGAGTGGCACAGGGCATATGCTGTCCCCTCGCCAAGCAGCCAGAGACTCCTCAGTTATGAAGTGAGAGAACGGACAGTGGAAGGCTGCCATTTTGATTTCTCTGGCTCTTTCAAGAGATCAGGTGGGGGGGTTTGTTCTACTTCCTGGGGTGACCAGCTTGCTTCCTAACAGACATTTCCAGGTGTTTCTAGGCCCCTGAACCAATGGGGTCACAGGTGGCACAGGTGAGCTGAGACCCTGGGATCTGGCAGTGCTGGCTGCCAACCTCCCTACACTACCAGCCACCAGGCGAGCTGCCCATACAATGTGAGGCCGGCAAGGGTGCAGACCACACCTCAGACCAACTCTGCAGGACCTATAAAATGTACCTTCTGGCTCGGCGCCTATAGCTCAACCGGCTAAGGCGCCAGCCACGTACACCTAAGGTGGCGGGTTCAAATCCCCAGCCCGGACCCGCCAAACAACAATGACGGCTGCAACCAAGAAATGGCCGGGCGTTGTGGTGGGCGCCTGTGGTCCCAGCTACTTGGGAGGCGGAGGCAGGAGACTCGCTTGAGCCCAGGAGTTGGAGGTTGCTGTGAGCTGTAATGCCACGGCACTCTGCCCAGGGGGACAGCTTGAGGCTCTGTCTCAAAAAAAAAAAAAAATGTACCTTCTCACCCTGCTGACCAGAGCTCTACACGGGACGTCCAGCCCCACATAGGGCACCCAGCCCCACATGGCACCCCCGGCCCCACCTCAGGGCACCCAGCCAGACCAGCAGAATGAGGTCTGCTGGTAGAATCAGCCTTCACTGGGCACCTGGGCTCACAGGCCCTGAGGGGTGCAATACTGACATCCGTGATTATGATCGACACAAAAACTGCCAGTCCCCAAGGGCCTGCCTGCCCTTAGCCGCGCGCTGAACTTGGTAGTGAAGAACTAGGCAGTGACAGTGACACTAGTTACAGTGACAGGGATTGACACAGCTAATCTCAGTCGCTCTGCGGGGAGGCCGTGCCACTCCCACAGCCACGGCGTTTTGTGTAACATTTAAAATTGTGGTAAACTACATCTGACACCAAACTCACCGCTTCGGCGATTTTTAAGTATGCGGTTGTGCGGCATTAAGCAGCACGGTACTGGGCTACCGTCACCACCATCCATTTCCAGAATTGTCTCCTCATCCCAAACGTTCGGAACCTCTGTCCCATTGGCTCTGGTCCCCTCCCCAGCTCCTGGTTAGTGACATCTGCCATTCCCGCTGCTGATCCAACCCCCTTCCAGAGAAGGCGTGGGAGCCTGAGGTCACAAGGTGGGGGTGGGCAGGATACGGGCAGTTGTGAGCTAAGACTGGGGTCAGGCCTTGAACAACCAGCTGCAGCTATCTGGGGCCAGTGAGGGACCGGCAACCCCCCACTTCCCAATTGTGGGTGCTGGGGACAGCGTTGTGGGGGTATTAGTGCTATAAACCCAGGGCTAAGCGAGACAGACGGCTGGGAATTCCCTGGGCGAGCTCAGGCTCCACTAGGCCTACATGCAAGAGGGACGTGTAAATTCGCCGTTGGTTTCCGGGAACACTTTAATTTATGGAGTCCATATGCTGACAAGGCCCAGACCACAGCCCCGGCCAATCCCACAGGCAGTGCTGGTGGCTTAGGCTGGAGCCAGGAGCAGCAGGCCCCCTGGGGGACGGCACACTCTCTTCATTCATTCCCTCACTCAGGGCCCAGGGCGGGCCAGACAGCACTGCAGGGACCTGGAGCCCCAACCAGGGTGGTTCCCACATTGCGGGGACTCAGCCACTCCTGCAGTTTTGTCCTAAGACATCTCAGGACACTGCAGGGTGATGCCCAAGAAAAGCAGGAACAGGCTTCCAGGCTCACGCCTGCAGGCGACCCAAGACTCCTGCTGCCAGGGAGGGTTTGTAGGCCACACTGGCCTAATCAGGCAGCAGCTGTGTGCAGGCCTCAGGGACGGTGACCCCTGCCCACATCCTGCTTCTCCTCCTGGAGCTGGGGCCCCTGTGTTCTGCTGGGGGAAGGCAGATGAGGGGCATCTCCTGGGGTAGGCCAGCTCCTGAGAGCCTGGGGTTTGAGGACAGGAGTCAGCCAACATGTCCCACCACCCCATGCTCAGCTCAGCTCAGCTCAGCTCCAGGCCTTGTAGTGAATAAAGGTAAAAGCAGCCTCCTCTGCTGAGCACTTACGATGTGCCAGGCACCGCTCTCAGTCTTTACACAGATTATTAGTAAGATTAATGTTTCCGCTGGGGATGGTGAGCAAGAGGAGACAGACTAGGCTGGCTGAGCCCTCCCAGTAACTGGCAAAGTAGGGACTGGAACTCAAGCAGTTGTCTGTGACCTTAGACAGCTTACATAGCAACTCTTAAGCCATGAACAGCAAGTAACCACCGAGGGATGCAGGGTACAGATGCCACGTGCTACAGTTGTTTGAGAATGGAGAGCTCCCCAATGGCTGGGAAAATCCAGGTGGGCTTCCTGGGTCAAGCAGCATTTGAACCAGACCTTCAAGGGCAATAGGATTTGGGAAGGAGAAGGGACAGGAGGGCCAGCATTACAGGTGTGGGAGATAGTCTGAGCGAGATGCCGCAGGCAGGAACGGGTGTGACCTTGCTTTGCAGGTGCGAAGCCTGCCATGCTTCTTCCCAGGCTTCCTGTCCCAGGCATGGACAGGACTCCTGCCCCTCCTCAAGGCCTAGGGCAGAGGCTGAAATACATGTCCCCACAGGAGGGTGAGAAGCAGGGAGATGGCTGCACCCTGGTCCAGTGCCAGCAGCTGTTGTACTGAAAAGGCCTAGGCCCACCTTGCCATCTTCTGATTTTTCAATAGGAATCTAGGAACCGATTTTTAAAAGCTGCACGCTCCAGCTTAGGAAGTACTGGCAACTAATTCAAAAAATGTTAGAACACTGTGCAAACCCTCATTCACCATCGATGAAAATTTAAAATGATATAGCTGCTTTGGGGAAAGGGCTGGCAGCCTCTCAGATGATTACACACAGAGTCGCTCTGGGA